ACTCCACTCCACTCCACTCCACTCCACTCCACTCCACTCCACTCCACTCCACTCCACTCACTCACTCGCATGTTTGTATGTATGTATATATTTTTATATGTGTGTATATATAGAGAAATGTGCATAGAGTATCAGGGTGGCCACCTTTAAATTCTTTTTGCTTTTTGGTGCTGAGTGACAGGATGGCCGGTAGATGTTGCGTTTTCTTCATGAGCGAGTGACGTTCCCATCCCTGCTTCATTGCCCAGCGAAAATTATGTTGGACATCATGCTTATGACCAGAGAAGAGCCTGGTGGTCGCAGATGCCCCCCAAATCCTCGGCCAGGTGGTCAAGCAGCTGGGCTCCCAGATTCACGGACTTCGCAGGGCGACCTGCGTATCGTGTGCTGCAACCTGTACTTTTAGAATCTTTTGGAGTGGTCAAGGCTCAATAGTGGCAGCTTTTCACGCGTCAACCTGGTACGTGAGCGTGGCACCGACGCCCTGCGGGTGTGCAAGGCCGGGCACCACTGCTTTTTCCAATGGTCGACGGCTATCTAATTGTAGCAGGCAGAAGCGGCAACAACTACATTAATAGGCATAGGATTTGTGGTGCCGTCCTTGACATGCAGGAACGGGATGGGGTCAACCATCTATGTAAGTTCCAGTGCGGCCTACCAAAGTCAGGAGAAACCAGAATTCTAGCACACAAAGGCAGCTGTCCTGCTATCAGATGGATTCAACACAAGCAGTAGTGTTTGCCTCGCAGTCCATGCCATGCAACTCCGTACCAGAATTTGTTTTGGTTCAGTCTTACATCAGGGCTCCTGGTTTTGCCCCGTAAGCGAGCATCAAGCAAATCAGGTCAACATCTTAGAGCTGCAAAGACTTGCAGCTACAAACCAGTGGTTTTGGTGATCTGGGTGCCGAGCAGCGCATCAGTAGTGCAAGGAGGATACTGTTCATGCATTGAAGTTTTTGGGGGTCATTTACTTGCAGGTCATCGACATCAAAGACATGGATCCACACGTGCTGGGTATGATGCGGAACCTCGGATGCAAGGTGCATCCAACTGGCTCAACTACTACTACAGACCACAAAACTACAATTACAAATGACATGCCCCGTTGCTAAGGAAAGAGGTTCAGGTCTTGTCAGCCCTTGACCACCCCAACATTGTGCGGCCACACGCTTGGATTGAGAGAGGGATAGAGAGAGAGAGAGAGAGTGCGTTCCCGGAGAGTGCTCACGATGCTCGGGGCTTTGAGGCTCTATGAATTTGCGGAGGAGACCTGGCAGATCTGGTTGCCTTGGCAAGGTGCAAATCTGTACCGGGCTCGCCAGGACGAGAAAACTCAAGAATTGGTGCTGATTCTGGAGCAGCTCGGATGCAGTGACGCAAGACACAAAGGTTTCTTAAATGTCCCGGCCTCTATTGTTCCCTGCCATTCACTCCTTGCACGCATATTCGTGAATGCTGGAAAAAGTGTTCTGCATTGATTCTACATTTGCAGCCACCATGAGGTACGTCCCTGGCGGCGATTGCATTGACCTGCTGGAGGCTGAAGCAAACATGGGGCAGCGCATGCATTTGCATGCTTTGAGTGCTCAAAGTCACAGTCTGCCAAAAGGTCAGTAGCAGTAGCTCTAAGAGCTTCGCCGCTTCGCCCAGTTTTTGAGCACAGTTCGCTTGGACCTGAGCTCCGCAGGAGCGTGAGCGGTTGCTACCCGAAAAGTTGGTGGCCAGGAGCTGGAAATGAGTCACTGAGAGTTTGAGAGGGTTTGGACAGCATTTCAGTCGACGGGTCCAGGATCATTCATCAGTTGCTGGTGGTCCTGAACTACTGCCACAAAAGCAGCTGACCCAACTTCAAGAAAGATGTCTTTTGGAAGTGCCTTATCGGAGTGGCACCCCAGGTGGCATCACTCATAGAGATGTGAAGCCTGAGAATATCATGCTGACATCCCTGTCTGACGACGCTTTCTGCAAGGCCGTTGCCTCAAGGCTGCTGATCACACGCAAAGAGAGAACATCAGATGTAATGACTTTGTAGAAATCATTCTTTTGCTCTTGAGGTGATCGACTTCGGCCTGGCAACGCCATACAAAGGCAGAGTGAAGGAATTTGCGGGCACTGTATCGTGCCCAAGACTATTGAAAGGACGTGTTGCTGTGTTGCTGACATGGCACAACGACGTGCCACCTCCATGAAGGTACTTGGCGCCAGAGCTTGCAATCGCACAGGCGGAGATGCTCAGGAATTGCCCCAATTGGTATATATAAGCTTTGGCATGCACTGCCAGGTGTATTTGACCATCCATGTGTCAAATAAGTAAATAAGTTACAGTTAAGGGTCTTTCCTGCGCAGCTTAAGCTATGTCGACTTTTCCTCAGTCTCTCTACCTCTCTCTGCCCCTTCTCGCTCTCTTCCCAACTTCCTTCGTAGGGGCTCATTTTCACGCCATGGGCGACAAGCATAATTGGAAGTGGGCCACCCAAAGCTACATTGCATTGGAGCGAAATTAAGAGCTGCCTACCCGCAACAAGCCTTCGAAACATTAACAACCTTGGAGAGGCCAAACATGGCCAAACAATCAGAAAACCATTGGTAAAAATCTGAGATGGAGGGAATTCGCCTTGAGGTTTTAGCATTTGATTGAAGTTTCTAGCTACTCGGAACCCAGAGACAATAATTTCTGGAGTTTGAATGACTTTTGTTCAAAAGCTCTTTTTGGCGGAATGGAAGTGTGTGTCCGACATGACATGTATCACAAAAACATTTGTGGAGTCGGCAGAGTTGGGCCTTGATGCTCCCACTTTTCACTAAGTCGGGCTTCTCCATGGCAGCTGACATTTGGGCAGTCGGCGTTACAGCCTTTGAGTTACTTGCAGGCCGGTTGACACGAAACCACAGAAGCCTCTAATGGCTCCTACTGGCAACTCATGGTGGGGCTGACTGTGAAGTGTGTTTGGGAGGCATCTCGCCCTTTGGAAAGCAACAGGCGCCAGTGATCTTTGGTGTTGCTGGTGGTTTGTACTGTAGTGCTGGACGATCACACAATCAACGCCCTCCAGGAATATGGAAATTCAATAGAGCCAATTCTGGAGCAGTTGTGCGAGTACGAAAGCTTCGATGAGGCAAGTCGGCAAGCTATGAGTTGATGTGAGGCTCGGTGCGACACGTGTCTCGAGCCCGGATCGACCAGGACCTCTATCAGACCTTCCGCGCATCGCCGGGACATCAGCGCCTTTGGCGCAGTTCTGAGGCTTGGCCCTCGATCCAAACAGTCGGACAACAGGTTTTCGTTTGCTCTTTGCGAAAACTGTCATTTTCTTTCTTGTTGTTCTTTATCGTTGCATGTTGAGCCAAAGATGTGATCCAAATCCAGGCGCGAGACTTTCTCCGAGTACTTTTGGCAGCTGACCCGGAGGAGCGATGCACTTGCTGCGGTTCTCATCCGCTTCGTGCTTCGACCATGACTTCTTGACTGGACCCAGGAGCGCCCTACCGCCGAAAAGGCGAGACATTCTGGATGAAGCGACTAGAAGACTTCGTTTTCTGGAAATAAGAAACATTGCTCCAGGCTCTGCAGCATCCGTGGTTGCTCCGACACCAGCCTGACCCCGTACCCATTGCCGAGGCTAGGCGTTTAGGTCCTAGTGCTTCTTCTTCCTCAGCGCCCTTCGTGTCAGGAGATGCTGAGAAGCTTTGTGGGGTTCACGGAGGTGAGAGACACCGAGACGCACTGCGGGGCGTAGCCCAGGGCATCGCATGATCTCGGGATGATGGGCTGAAGGCAACGCAGATGCACAGAAGCTGCCTCTATGCCCTTGCCGGGAAAGGTCATTTTGACGAGTGACCTCCTGAGGTTGGGTCGATTTTGAAGCTCCAGTCATTTGTGCCAGTTTCGAGGTTGGATGTGCACATGATTGGCTACGCCTTCGCACAAGCTGATAGTGACCATGATGGAAGGATTTCTAAGGAGGCTGGCTAGCTCAACTTTTGTGGGTCTTGTTAGCTCTTCTCACACCAAGCAGCTTTGCCAGGACTTGCTCAATGCCAGCCAGGCGAGACTGCCTACATTACTGTGTGCTGGAGGAAGGCATATCAAGATGAAGCACGAAGAACAACTTTTGACCAATATGTGACCGCTCAACCAACACCATGGTGAGTTGTGGCGAAGGCGAGCAGTTGGTGGTCATGGAACAGGGGATCTGAGGCCTACTGCTGACACAATTCATGAGGTAGACAGTGGTAGACCAGCACAATCTGGTCACTTTGAGACAGTGTTGGCCTGTAGGTCGACATGGAGGCGTTTCTCAAGGCTGCAGATCAGGAGCAGCTCGCAAAAGCCGCTCGTTTCTAGTGTCACTTTGTGGAGCTTCAGGATTGCAAAGGATACCTGGGCTACACTGATTTCGTGGCTGCCTGCCTGTTCCAGATACACCCCACTCTTGACGTGCCTTGCTGGCAGATTCAGCCTCGATTTTTTGATCTGGTGAGATGGGGCACCGTGAAACATGCAAACTGAGGATGCCCTTGTGGACAACACCTTCGATGTGCTGGACCATGACCGAAACGGCCGTTTGAAGGCATGGAACTACATTGAAATGAACCTCCTACTGTACGCTTTTCTAGCACACCTTGTGTGTGGGTGTGGCTGCTACAGGCAGATGATGTCATGCCTGCCTTCCCGCGATACCCAGCTGGACCCGGGTAATTAACTTGGTGCACAACGGCTCCTCATGCAGCTCTGTCCTCGCAGGACTTCCAAAGTACTGTGCCTTCAAGCGCGCAGAGTGGCATCAATGCGTGTTTCGTGAGGCAAGGTGGTTCTTGGATGATCATATTCCAGGGATGGTGCCAGAGTGGGTGCAGTGTTTCTTCGATTTCTCTCTTTCGGAGGTGGAGGATGAATTGGCCAGGACACATGTGAATTGAGATGAATTGAGAAATCTGATTGCTTGTGAAGCTGCGCAAGAATGCAACTGGGAGAGTGAGAGAGAGAGAGAGGCACGCAGCTGCCGCAGGACCTCAACAGAAGACTCTGAGGCCTTATTTGAGTTCTCGTGATGTATATTATCGATCCGCAATCACATTGCTGCTCTTGCTGACATGTTGGGCACACGCCCCCTCGCATGATTTGTATTTGTGCGATGTTGTTCGACAAGCACACTTCCAGTGCAAGTTCCGAGAACAGGGATGAACAGGGTTCCTCTGTGACATCCTTCCCAAGAGTGGTCATTGTTGTCACAGACCGGCCGAGCCTGCTAAATAATGTTCGGGTGGCCTGAGTTGGAATCACCAACCACTGCAGGAGTCGCCAGGTTTTCTGGCCCGGATCTTCAGCGGATTCTTTTGCAGGCTCTTTGAGATAAACTTCGCTGGACTTTCTGACCTACTTTTGTGCTGGCACAAGTACCGCTATGGACAAGGGAATGTTGAGTATGATGCGCCCACAAGCAGTAATAGGGCAGACGAAGAATCAAAGCGCTAGATTTCAGACTGTGAACTGTGAAAGACCCGACCACACATGCCCGCCGAAGACAATTACCAAAGGCCCTTTTGCAAAAGTAGTGAGGTATTCTGACACTGTCACAACTCCTCGGCATACAGATTTACACACACACACACACCCCGGTACATACCAGTGCCAATGCAAGATTTACATGGAAGGCACATCGATGACGGGGAGGGTCTTGGCCTCAAATATGTAGCATCATTCATAATACCTCATGACGGTATTCAGATGGAGTCGTTTGTAATTTGCTTGCGGAGTTGGCTCAATTGCCAATTGCTGACCAAGGTCATGAACTTTCAGTTGATGCCACGCCACCACAATTTCGGGACAAGGCAGCGATCCCTTCGCCAGCGGGTCTTGGCATGCAGTGCTGTGCAGAGCTTCAGGTCAGTGAGTTGAGATCATCCACCGCTTGCGCGCTGCCTCCAATCGCGCCGGCAGCTGACATGGCACCTTGACCACGGAATTTCACCAAGGGGCACCGGGGCATCCTCCCAAATCGGGGGGGGCCCTGCTGTCTTTGCAGCGTCAGTGTCCGCCAGGTATGCCTTCACAAGGGCATTTTTGACGTAGTTGCCACTCTGAATCCTAACAGTACTCGAACAACCGAAACAGGTTGTGGATTTACAAAGGTCCATTTTTGTGCACTGATCTCTTCAGAAGTTGATGCCGCACACCGAGGTGCTTGCAGCACGGGCAACTGCTCAGCAGGCATTTTTTTGGGGCTGCGGCTTTCATCTAGCTGGCCCTCAACCCTTAAGGGTTGGGTGCCGTCGGCACGGGGCCTTGAATCTTACAAGATTATATAGAGATTTGCAGCCTGAGAGGCGAAGGCCAACTACCTGAAACCACCCAAGGGGCTACTGCCTTGGGCAGCCACAGGCCAGAGCAACTTGAGCTTCCAACTTGTCATGCCTCATTGTCTAGGGAGTGCTATAGAGCAGGCGCTTCATTCAGTAGTGCTTCGACTTTCACCTCCTTCTCTTCAGCTGCGGCAACTGGGCCAAGAGCTGAGATGGCCATGAGAGACCATCTCCCTTCGCTCCATGAGAACTTGATTGAAGCCTTCTCAAGGAACTTTGGACCTCGTGTCGGCTTCTCCTGAACCATCAGCCCGCAACTGTCTTTAGATCATTTTTCCGCGCCTGGCAATGTCGTAGGCCACTTTGACGCTCCTGCTGAGCAGGCGTGCGCCAAAGGTAACAAATCCTTTCACCAGGCTTAGGAATGGGCAGCCTGATGTAGCTTAGGAGGCTTGGAGACCGGGCTGCTTGAAGTCAACCTTTCATTCCCTGCAGCCTGCCGATTGGCAAGTGATTCAATAGGTGGTTGGTTTCAGGGCAGCAGATGTACAGTGGAATGGGAGGTGGCCTGGCCAAAAGTGTCAGTTCTCAAATTGCAAGTTCTTGAAATTCGGTGCCTGCCCACCTGTGGTCCAGTATGTGGTGCTTCTTGCATTGGTCACAACTGTCATGACCGACTGGGAGGGTCATATCGTCATACCAATTCAAAGCACCCACGACCGAACGTGCTTCAAAGAAAGCTGTTATCGTACAGCTCCGCACTGCCATTCCGGCAGAATGGCTTCTTACCAGGGAGAGGCCGGCGCCAGGCAGCTGCCCTGCGGAAAATGTCTGTATGGAGGCTAGCCATGGGAGAACAAAGCAAGAGCCAGAGTGAATCACTCGAATCACACGAATGATTTGTATGCAGGCGTTTCTTTGAGTAGGCCCTAATTGCGGACAGCCATGGCTCCTCCGACAATACTGACAAACAAGGCTGAAGAATGGGTGGAATGTGCATCAAGGCTGCTACTGGACACCCCAGAGTCTTTGCGCAGCGCGTCTGATTGGACAGGACGTGCCTTCGGCTGCTACATTCCAACAGGTTTTCAGTTTTAAGTTATATAAATATTCAAGAAAATACAGTATGTACAATGTACAATGTACACGTACACACACACACATGTTACACTCGGGAAAAGAGTTCGTACGAAATGAACCACTCGAAGAGGCCTACATAATCCTATATATATATATATGTATTTAAGTAACGAGGGAACCTAAGAGCTCAGGTACATGCAACGAGGTCTAATCATCCAAGGTTCCCAACATCCAAGAATCCCAAGGGCACCCAAAGCAAAGACGCTACTAGGAGCCTCCTGGCATCGCTTATTAGGAACAAGGACGCTACTAGGGCCTTAGGGGCGCTTGGCCTTACTAGGAACAAGAAGCTATTGAATTAGAAACAAGAATTGATTTAGGCATCGTGGAGGTTCCGCATCTGGAGGTTCCAAAAGGTTCTATGACCGACGAACGCAGCGGTCCAAATGCAAGTCTGCAGACCCACCGGCGAGCGTAGTTATCAACACCCACAAAACTCAAGCTACGCTGATATCCGCCTGTAAATGTACTGTGGCCACGCAGTACATGGATGGTTGCCGTAAATTAACATTTGCACCATAAGGCTCCTTTTGAATCGAACGGTTCCACGCACATGTATAAAGAAAAACAATATGTTATCTTTTTCCATTGGTGCATTGATACGCAGTTTGCTTCTTGTGGCCTGCATAGGCCTACATATTGATTAGTGTTTGAGTAGGTGCCCTTTGCATTCTGAACAGTTTGTTGGGGCTTGTTCACAGGTGCAAAACTATCATCAAAGAACACAAAGGAAGAGATTCTGGAGATGTGTGAGCAGCGTGGAGTAGAATGTTCTGGACGCAAGGCTGACGTGATCAAAGCTCTAGTTTCAAGTTTTTTGGGCCCCGATGTTCCTGAGCAAGGGGTTCGCATGTGCCATCCTGGGATTGCTATGGGCTATGACACGGAGATGCGGAATCCAGCGTGGTGTGCTTAGTTGCTCCGCCCTTCTGTTTCTTGCAATTGTGATTGCAGCTCTCAAGGCAGAAGTCCACTGTTTGTGGCACCGGTACGTGTTTGTAGTGGCTTTACGGCCACTGAAAGAACCTGAGGTGGTGTGCCTATCGCTTGAACCCCGAAGAGCAGCGGGCAACGGACAATGACCGGAAGAGCTTTGAACTTGACCCGGCTTTGAAAGCAGCTGGCAGCTCTGCTAGAGTCATTGGTGCAATCAAGGGCGGGAGTTCAGTGATTCAGTCAGGATTAGAACATACCTACCTACCTACCTTCCTTCCTTCCTTCCTTACTGACTACCTACCTTACTACCTTACTACCTCCCTACCTACCTCCCTTCCCTACCCTACCCTACCCTACCTTACCCTACCTTACCCTACCCTACCTTACCCTACCTTACCCTACCTTACCCTACCTTACCCTGCCTTACCCTACCTTACCCTACCCTACCTTACCCTACCTTACCCTACCTAACCTACCCAACCTACCTACCCTACCTACCCTACCCTACCTTACCTTACCTTACCCTACCTTACCCTACCTTACCCTACCTTACCCTCCCTTACCCTCCCTTACCCTACCCTACCTTACCCTACCCTAGCCTACCTTACCCTGCCTTACCCTACCTTACCCTACCTTCCTTCTTACCTACGTACCTACCTACCTACCTACCTACCTACCTTACTACCTTCCTTGCTACCTACCTACCTCCCTAACCTAACCTAACCTAACCAAACCTACCTAACCTACCTAACCTACCTTACATACACATACATACATACATACATACATACATACATACATGGCTCAAGGCCACAAGCTGCTCAAGCCCGTGGCCCGTGAAATCGGGCTGGTGCACACACCCCTTGCGCTTCAGTTGCCAGCAGTACCACACCGAGCAAGGCCCAGGAACTTTGTGAAGTACCTCCGTTCTTTGCTCGCCATCCAGGTCTTCACCTTCCACGTTGTTGGATTGATCCTCGGCACCCGGCATTTGCTCGCTTGGCTACTTGCTTGGAAACCTCGTGGGCACTGGCTCTTTTTCTTAAAGCACCTCAAGGGCCAATTCGTGATCGGTGCTCTGATCCTCAACCTTTCTCCTGCTCTTGGTTGACGCACCTGAGGTCACCCTCATCCGGCACTATGTCACCCACGTGGGGCAGGGCCTACATGGTTTGTTCGCAGAGCCAATGCTCCAATTGGATCTGGACCGACAAGATCAGGTCTGGCACCAAGTGTCGGAAATGCGGAACCTGGTGGCCTGACCATCAAGCCCACACAGGAAAAGGCAAAGGCTATGGAAGACCGGCGAACAAATCCGCCATCCACCACCATTGGTTGGAATCACCTCCCGGCCTCACAAAGATCCGACCCTTGAAGAAGACCAAGGTCCAACAAGAAGCCTCAGAACTTCTCAATGGCAGCTGGGCCACATTGCCTGAAGAGACACAGACCAAGCTCCAGGCTCTCGGCATCGGACCAATCAAACCAGAAGAACCGGGTTTGACTGATGTGTTGAAAACACACATGGACGCCCTGCCACCACAAGTCCAACAGATCGTCAGCAAGCTCACCGCTCCAGAACCATGCACTGAGAAGGACATTGCCACTAAGCTCAAAGGCCAAGTCACAGACCTCAAGGCAATGTCCATTCGGAAAAATCAGCTGCAGGAGAAAATCGATGGAGTCAAAGCCCAGTATGCCTCCTTGCTCTCGGACATGCAAGAGCTTCAAGCCAAATTGGCTGAAGGGCAGAAAGCACTCCACAAGCTTTCACAGGACTACATGACCGCCATCAACCAAACTCCAGCACCAGGCGAATTGACGGGTGGCACCAGCGAGCCGGAACAAATCCCAATGGCTGTGGAGTCCTTTGTACACAGTTTGGGGATCTCGCTCACTGAAGAGCAGAAGACCCAGTTGCATGGGCTCCTTAAGCGACCCAACCAGGATCCTGATGACCCCACCAAAAGGAGGAAAACAGATGGCACACCAGCACCACCTCCTGGATCGTGTGGGTAACAGGGATGCAATAGCACAACAGCCGGGGTGGACTTACCCGATCCCTGACGATGATTCTTGGTCATGTGACGGGACGGAGGAGTTTTTGGGGACCGAGGTTGAACAACACAACCCTTTTGAAGATGAGTCCATGGGAGACCAACCACCAATCGTGTGGCCCAACACCCCTGACTCTCACGGGGAATCTCACCGGGAACCTTGTGAAGGGGACATTTCACAAATCATTTCCGGCACCATCGATGACCAGGGCTCACGGCGCACCACACGGGTTTGCCGTGCTGCCTCAGGCTCAACAGCAATCACTTTTGGCAGTGCTATCAGTGTTGGGGAACAAACACGTAGCACCATGGTTGAGAATTTTCACATCCACTCTCAGCCACAGAACATCACTGTTGCAGGGGAAGAGCAACACCAACCAAGTTCCTGGGAATCTCAACAAGAGGTTCAAATTTTGCATCCAACCTTTCCTCCGGCAGCATCACATGGTCCTTGCTTGAAGCTCACTGGAGGCGCTTTGACAACACCTACTCCGCCCTCCGAAAGTGGCCAGACATTGACCTGTATGAGCACACAATACTATGCCTCCACCACTGACCTTCTTCTCCAGAATCTGAGCATGGTGGTTGGCAATCCGAGCTCACGATGTTTTGCCAACGCACCGTGGCGGGCTTTCTGCTGGATGTGTGCATATCTGGCAGAATTCAACCGTGACCCCTGGGGAGTCATCAAGGAGGCAGTGCAAACGTCCCTGGAGTTATCCGAACCGGTGGACATCCAACGACTCCCTGGCATGCATCCCCTCTGGGAGAAACACAACCTCAATCTTGAAGGAGATGCTGCCCATTTCGTGCATTCACTGTGGGTCCTCTCACAAACTCGAGTCCTGCAGTACCGGCGCACAGAGATCAAAGAAGGAGGGTATGTCACGGAACACATCCAAATTCCTTTGGTGGTGGACTACCCGGATGAATACCTCGATGAGATCACATGGCAGGAACTGCTAAATTGCTGGGCCAATCAAGGCTATGGGCAATACCTGGGAGATGACAAGATGATCCACATCAGCCACATCAACCGGGCGGTCACCATCGAAGGCACAGTGACCAAACACAAGCGAGCCTTAAACCCGCATGGCCCGTACACCGTCCCACGCTCCGTGGACGGTTTCTCCAGAGCCAGCGAGGAGTACATCCCTTTGGCGTACATCTGCCATCGAGGACCCACCCATCAAACCGGACATTACTATGCCATCCTCGTCTACAAAGACCTCATGTGGATTGCCGATGATGGAGCCACTCCCAAGGTGCTGCCCTTTCTGACGCCTCAAATAGCGGGCCAGATTGTACAAATCTGGGGCATACAGACCTCGGCGCTGATCACACCACGGCAAATAGCCAGAGCCTTGCCACCTCCGGAGACT